TTCGGGAGGGTGGGACAGGCAGGAAAACTCAAGAGCTGAATTTAAATACACTTGTAAATTATAGCATGTGACAACTGTCAATTATTTTTACTAATAGCTAAGATTATACTGAATACTGTGGTCACATGGGATTCCTTTAACAGATAACTTTTGCTCACAGATTTTCCATCGGCCTGGTGAAGCTTTCTTAGAACAGTGTTGTAGTGTGAGATCCTGTGCTCCCTACCTCCTGCTTCTGCAGAGTTGGTCAGACCAAGACTGAAGCCTGAAGGCAGTTCTCTCCTACTCTCCCTCCCTTTCTTTAATCCTTCACAGACAGTTTCCCCAAAAAACCTTTTAATTACCTAATCCCTGCTGACCATCTCTTTCTCTGGGAATTTGAAAGAACAGAGTGTTTACAAATCTAGCCATTATATGTATTATTATTTCATTTAATCTTCATAACCACCCTATGAAGACATTACTTTTCCCATTTTACAAATAAGGAAATAGAGTGGAAAGTAACTTTCCCAGCATCACACCAGTAGTGAGAGAGCTAGGATTTGACTCGTCTGTCTGACTTCACAGTTGGAGGCCCAGACCTTATTCTAAAGCCATTAGACTTTATTAAACAATAGCAGCAAAAACTAGACAGATTTCTAATAAAATTTTTCTGATGCCTCCATATACTTTCACACATTATTACATTTAATCCTAATAATATCCATAGGGTCAAATAACAGTTCGAGGAAAAAGGATTTGGGAATCAAAGAATTTAAGTAACTGCTTCAAGATCATATATGTAAGTTCCTAAATTTGAAATCACACTCAGGTATCTGAATTCAGTTCTTTAATTATACCACTCTAATTATTAATCAAAATGACAATTTTGTCTGAGATAATTTTCTTCAATAAAGGATCACTTAAATAATTTGAAGATACATATATATTAAAAATATATATATAAATATATACTTTATTAGCAATATAGGCTATTTTCCCTGAGCTATCTCACCTTATCTACTTGCATTTTAACCAAAGTTTATAGGAAATAGGTGGCACACTGTTTCAAAAAATTATCTCTAGTAACATCAAAAGATGAGGCTGGAAGGCAGTATTCTCTTCCTACTTTCTAAGGATTTTAAATATAATTATGCTGACTTTTACCTTTACCTCCTGACCCAACCGCAGTCTTTGAGTTCAGCACTGAAAAACTTCCCTTAACCAGAGTCATCTGATAAGATGAGTAAGCAGTCTGTAGAAGCATCATTTTCAAAGACCAAACCCCTGGCTGCTTCCAGGCCTCAAATGGAATGCAATGTAACAGTACTGTGCATTATGATTGACAGAAGGGATCCAGCAAGATGTTGAGCAGCCTGAAATTAGGGTAATAGTATTCAAATACTGGAAAGAGATTTGTTTTGTTATCTGCAGAAAGCATTGTGGAGGGTCATGAAACAGAAAGGGGCAATCCTGGAGGGCAATCCTGGAGGAGCAGATACAGGAAGGGGAGGCAGATCCATGTCTGACCCTTTCCTGGGGCTACCAGGAGCCACTCCTAAGAGAGGAAAGCCCAGGGGTCCCCTAACCAGTTCAACTTGTGATTTTAGACTGGGAAACTGAAACTCAGCAAGGAGCAGGAAGTTGTTCAGGGTCACAGACATCAGGAAGGAGCAGGAGTCACAGAGGAGAAAGTAGGAAGACTTCACAGCTCAAGAGAATCCCCAGTAAATCCCTGTGATCACAGCTCAGTGCTTACACCCAACATTCACCCCACAGGAACAACATGCTTGTAGGAGAGTTCCTACATGAGTTCATGTCCCTGCCAGGCGGAGGTCCAAAAGCAACTGAGAGAAAGTCCCTTAAAGCTCCTTGACACCTCTGGGCAATCCTGAGTCAAGGTGACAGCCATCAGAGCATCTGGTTAGCCAGGATGGAGAAGGGAAATTCACAGCCAGGCAGGAACCTGGCTGGGGCTGGGAGTCAGTGGCTAGGCGTTGGGCAGGTGCTGATTGGGGATTTTGGATAATTTTTCATTACTTGTACTTTTTTACATAATCATGTATTTCTGTAAAAAGTGAGTATTATTTCTTTAACAAAAGAAATGCCAATACCACCTTCCACCCCGTTCTGGGTATACACACAAATCATGGCTTACGGCAGGTCCTCCAATAATGTTGTTTCATTCAACATCATTTAATTATAAGGTTAAAGAGAAGAAAAAAAAACAAACATGAGACAACTTATCCGGCGACCTATTTTGTTATATAAGTTTTGCTTAAACTCCAAGAACTTACTGAGGACATGACATGAGGGTTTATTGTACTGCAAAAGTTCTAGCATTCATAACATGACCCCTCTATTACCCACGTTTTGGTATTCTTTATCTCCTGTCTTCTCTGCAGAATACCACATTGCCTTTTATGATGTGTTTAGTAGACACTACAGTTCAAGGTCAACACATATAACAATAAATAAGCATGACCTTATTTATATGTTAAGTCTCTTCTTATTTTCAAGTTATTTTTATTGGGGTAACACTGGTTTACAACACTGTACATGATTTAGGGGTATAGGATCACACCTCCTCAGATGTAGGTCACCACACCACCCCCACCACCAATATACCCAAAGTCCATTACCATAGATCACTGCATCCCTGATCCACTTTGTTCCCACTCTCACCCTCCCACCCTCCTCCAGTAGCTTGAATTCTGCAACCATATTTCTAGGGTTTATTTTGGTTTCATTTTGATTGTTCCTATGTTTTGTTTCTCTACATTCCACATAGGAGTGAAATCATCCAGTATATGTCTTTTTCCTTCTGATTTATTTCACTTAGCATAATCCCTTCCAGTTCTATCCAGGTTGTCACAAATGGCAAGAATTCATATTTTTTTCTTGGTAAATGCTTTCATAAAAAAGTAGAGACAAATACTTCTCTATGGATGGATAAATAAATAAATAATATGGATAAATAAATTCCAAGAATTCTCCATTCAAATGAATGTTTATTCAGTCCCACTATATGCCATCATGCAAAAAACAGATATTTTCTTTCTGTCTACACACATATGTGTGGGGTGTGTGTTTGTGCGTGTGTGTGTGTGTGTGTGTGTGTGTGTGTGTAGAAAGCAGATAGCAGGCACTCTGGACTTAAGAGTCACTAATATACCAATAGTCTTTAGATTGGTTGCATTTGTTTAATTATCATGGTAAAATTGGCCAAGGATCAACACAGAAAAAAATTATATTCATATGTCAAAATTATCTAGATGATTTCCTTAAATACCTAATACATGACAACCTTAACCCTTAATATATGGAATTAATTCCTTAATTCCTTAACACATTTTTAAATCTCTTTATATTCTGGTTTTACTATTTCATGAACCTTTGAATGAGACTGTATACAATCTATCCAATTTTAGCTGGGAGTGAAAGTGATATAATTTTTTTATGAGGATAGAGCACAGTAAAAAGAGTCAAAGTTTGGAGTCAACTAGACTCTCTCAATTTTGTTAATTGTGCCATTAATTCTATAATTTGTGGGAACATTTTTGAGTCTCAGTCACAATGTCCCAGTAGAAAATGTTTGCACAATGGGGAAAATGATTTTTCTTATAGAACTGTTGTGTAAAATAAATAAATGAAATAATGAAAGTCAAGTACCTGGCAGACAGTAGCTATTTGTAGTTAGTATTAGTGGCTGGTTATATTACTGTGAAAAGAGATACCTCAAGTCAAAAGCAATGATTTAAAAAATCACAGCCTGTCTGAAAACTAGTTACTGTAGTTTTCCTTAGATTACTTACAATGCTTTCAGTTGGTTAAAAAAAAAAAAAAAAACCCGACTCAATAAAAATGACAAAACTGGAACCAGCTGAAGGGATTTAAATGGTTGTTGAATTATTACTCAACAAGGAGATTAGACCATCAACGAGCTGTCTAAATACAGATGCATTACTTTCAAAAGGTAACAAGACTGATGCATCAGGGGCCTTGAACTGAACATACTATTTTTTCTTTATGGTAGAGTTATCCATAGAACTTTTTGGAACTGGTTGTCTTGAAAAAATTCAAATCAGCTGCTTTTTGTCAGAAGAAAAAAAAAGGTGTCTATTTAAACATAAGATGGAGAGTGAAAACTACTTACCTAAAGAAACTACCTTACTCAAGACTGAAGTCGCCAAGACTCACTACATCAGCTTCAACTGAATGAGCAACTTTCCTCACATTATCTCTGGTTGGAACCATTTCTTTTTTAAACTATTCTGGCAACCTCAGAGCTCTATCCAAAATTTTCCAGACGCTTTCATTACTGAGAAAGACTAGAGCAGGGCAAAAGCATTCCTTTCTGAAAGCACACCCACTGCTTAATCTCTGGTTTCCAAAAGGTAAATAAATGATGTATCTAAAGCACACATACGAAATTATAAACTTGTTCCCCTATCTTATCAGCTCACAGCAACCAGAAAATCAAAGGCCACTTTCATTCAATTCAAATTGCAGCGGAAACGTTGATTTAATTCTAAATCAGGAATAATGTCTTCATCCCACTTCCAAAATGTTTGTAAAAGATGACCACTTCAACCAACTGCCAGCCTCCGAGGCACTGCACCACAGGCAAATGGAAACAGTACTTTAGGAAAAGATTGAAAAGTAGCTCTGGGGAATCCCGGGTGACCAAACCCTGCAAACGGGACAGTGAGGGCACTCCTTGATCGTCTGTAGAAAGGCTAGGTAGTAAACCGAGTTGCGCACGGTGTCTTCGGCCGCACACAGGGAAACTTGGAGACTCGAATTCAATTTCCAAGTTGAACACAGATACTGCGAGTGCAGAAGAGAGAAAGTCGGGGTCCCAGGGCCTCCTCCAGCAGCACAGAGGCTGAAGCGCCGCGGGACTTACTCCTCCCGACTCAACACTCCTGTTCACTTCTCGGTGCACTCAAGATGCTACACCGAGCTCCGGCCAGCCGAAAATATCCGGGCCGGGAGATAATCCAGAAAAAATCACTTACCAATCTCCCACCTCCCGTGCGGTAGGCCCTCCAGCCAGAAGCAAGCCCCGCAGCGGTTCAGGCCACCCTGACGACGGGGCGAGAGCGTCACTGACAACCACCCGGAAGTGGCACAAATGCTTCCGGGGCCGCCGAGCGCGCGGCGGGAAATTATTTCCCAGAGCCCGGATTAGTGAAGCCGCCGGGCTGCCGCGGCAGTCGTCACCGCTGTCATCACCGCCACCCGAAGGAGGCGTCCAGACTCTCCGGCGGGAAGGTAAAGAGCTTCAGCTCGGAAGACACTGTGTCCCCCTGGCTCTGTGGGGATGAGTTTCCTCCGCGCCCCTCAAGTTTCTGCCGCTGCCGGTTGTGAGGCTGGGAAAGGGCTGGGGTGAGCCGCGGCGGTGCCTCTGGCGCTTTTCGCCGTCGCCTTCGGTGCCCGCAGCCGGCTCCCCGCGCTCGGCGCCCGCGTCGACGGCCAGAGGCCGCGGACCCGCTCCTCGTTCCGCCGCGCCTCGACGGAGGCGGCCGCCGAGCGCCTCTGCAGCGCCGGCTCAGCCTCGTCCCCGCCTCCTGTTTGCGCAGCTCGGCGGCTCGGTCCCCTGCCAGGAAGGCTCTAGGCCACCCGCGTCTCTTGTTTCCATAGAGCCAACCGGGGCGTCTTCTCCTTGAATCCCAGGTTCTTGGCTGCTTTCCATAATTTAGCGTCAGTGCAGGTGGCTGGGATCCCCCGGGCCGTTCCTTTCTCCACAGTCGAATTTTTAAACGTATCCAAATGGTATGCGAATCCTTGCGACTTCTGTAGGCCTTTAAATACACACCCACCCACACACCCACACCCCCCACCCACCACACACACACCCCCACCCACCACCACACACAACCCCACAACACCCCCCCAACACACACACACACACACACACACACACACACACACACCCGCCGCTAAAAGAGAGCGTCTCTGTTTCTGGGAATTAAGCTATCTTAGCTATCTTGAAAGGTTATTCTGATATTTTTTCCACTCGCAAGACCAGTTAAATATGAACCAAAAAAATTGACCACCTTCGGCTACTTCATATTTGGATTTGACCCAGAAATTTGACAGCCTGATTTTGGAAGTGCCAAGATGTTGTGGGTTTTTTTTTGGTTGGTTTGTTTTTCAGACTAATGACTATTCTGTATTCAAAAACCAAAATAAATAAATAATGGAAAGATATAAATTTCCGGTGAAACACTAGGAATGAAATTTTAAACAATTTACAGTAGGCATATTTGTGACAGACACTGCACCTTGTGAACTTTTTAGTTTGTTATTACGTTGCGCATCAGTTCTGACAAGTGTTCATTATTGATGTGCAAGATGTTCTCATTTTTAAGTTCCACTAACCTGTGTTGCTGGTGTTTAGTACATAAATTGATAGCTTGGAGTGGATTTTTGTAAAGGGCTTCGTTTGATAAAGTCTGAGTTAACTCAGTATTAAGTTAAATGATGATTTTCAAATTTGTGAATGTATAAATTTTTATTACAGAGATAATTTAGCCTTCAGTAATGCAATAAGCTCCCTTTACATGTGTTTTCTAAATCCAGATTTTGTCTTAATCACTTACATAATGTTTTATATGATTTTATCTTTTCTTGTGTCTCTAAAGAAGGCATAATTCATGTTCAACAGTCTTTGAAAGGTGGTAAAAAATGATTACTTTTCATAATCAAAATTCAAAACTCTTAAGATTTCATAATAACTGTCTACTGTTTCCCTCAGAGTCCAAAAACATTGACTTAAAAAAACAGTACTGTAGCTTTATTAGACAGTATCTCCTGATTAATTTATTCTAAAATTGTCTTTTCTCTATTCAAATAAGTTTAAAAAATAAAACCGCAATTCCATATTCACTCTGAATAATGAAATCTAAAGAAAAAGTAGAACATTTTCCTCAAAAATATAACTAAAATGAAATATCTTGAAATTTTGTCCTTTAAAATATATTTGCTTTCTGTTTCTTACCCTTAATGATGTTATTGCTTAAAATAAAATATTCCTGAACTTCACTTAGTTCTTACATCAATAATTATTTTGTCATAAAAAATATACTCTTCTGTTATTTTTAATATAGAAGAAAATTCCATATGAATTAGTCTAGTAATCAATTCCTGTCCATTTTCAGAGGAAACTAATGAAAGCTTTCATAAGAAAATGACACTTTAGATTGTTTCTAGAAATGCTTTGAAATTTTAGATATTAGTGTTATTTTTCTGAAATTATATTTATTTTTAGTGATATTGGTGATCTTAAATGACTCCCCACCCTCAAAAGTAGATTCCTTTTCATTCAATGTATTTTTCTCTTGCACTAGCTGAAAAATAGAAATGTAAGTCAAAATGTTGTTGGAGAAAAGATGGATCATTTTTGTAGAAACAGATTTAAATCTTTGTATCTTGATTTCACATTTACTAGTCTTGTATCCTTGATTAGTTTCTTAATCTCTCAGATTCCCCAGTATCCTCATCTATATATACAGAGTAACAACACCTCCATTGTGTAGACAAAAATGAACTAACTTATATGTTCCTACAAAGTCCTTAATGCTCCTACTAAGTCATACAAAGTTCTTAGATTATTAAAGCAGGTTTGATTTCATTCCCCGTGGTTAACCAGTGTCTACTGTCCATCCATTCTCTTTTCCCTGAACATCCTTCCACTTGTCCTTCTTGCTTAAGGACCCCTTCATTTTATAACTCCTTCATCTAATATCTCCTTGCTTTGTACGGTACTGGATACTTTGGGCATCTCCAAAGTTCTCTTAACCTCTCGTTTCTTCCTCACCGAAGGCACTTTGCTGCTGCTTTTTCAGTTACTTCCTCTACTCCTAAATTTACCATCAAAGAGACTGATTATGACTATTCCTTTCCCAAATAATGCCATTAAAATCTTGTCATTGGATACCACCAGCAAGAATAAATTTACACACACGCACTTGAAGGATGGGGCAAGAATCAGCAATTTTTTTTTTTAAATTCCTAAGGCCAGGTAATGAAAATAAGCCAAAGGCGTGTATTGGCTCCTAGTCACTAGGAGTCACAGAATTCCTAAACAGGTCCTTATTTCAGTCTATTGTTTCCTTAATTGACTTGCTGTCTCATTGATCTGTCCGGTGATGTAAGTGAAGTGTTGAAATCCCCTAACTACTATTATGTTGTTGTCGTTGTCTGTTTTTAGATTTGTTTATAATTGCTTCATGTATATTGATGCTCCTTTGTTTGGTGAATATATATTGATGAGTGTGACGGACTAATCCCTTAATCATTTATATAATGTCCATCCTTTTCCCTTGTTACCTTTTTTTTTTAAGCTGGAAGTTTATTTTACCTTGTATGAATATGACTGGCCTTGACTTTTTTAGGGTACCATTTACTTATAGGATTGTTTTCCAGCCTTTTGAGCTTTTATTTATCTGGATCTCAGATAGGTCTTCTGGAGTCAGCAGAAAGGTGGGTTTTGATTTCTGATCCAACCAGTCACTTTGATTTTTGCATTTAGACCACTGACAGGGAAATTATTGATCTATAAGTATTTATTGTGACTTTTGTTATTTTTTTTTCTGGGTGTTTTTTACTGTTTGTCTCTATTTGTTGTTCTTCTCTAGTTATCTTCCCTTGTATTTTGAAGGCTGGTTTTTTTTCTTGTGCTTGGATTCCACTTTTATCTTCTTTGTTTCTCCTAGGTATTTTTGTTCTGAGGTTACCGTGTGGTTTATATATAGAATTCTATACTTCTCACCTATCTTGAATGGAAAGCAAGTTAATTTGAAACTCCTTATACCATGTTTATCTTCTCTGCCCCCCCCCCATTTTCTGTTTTTGAAGTGTTATTTCTTTTATACGGGATTTTCTTTCATAGTAAACCCTTTAAAATTTCTTGCAAGTCTGGTTTAGAGGAGGTGAATACCTTCTAAATTCTGCTTCTCCAAATTCCTCATTTTCTTTGATACTCTGTGATTGTTTCTGTGGACTAACCTAGTCTTTCCTTTTCAGTCCTGCTCTAACTGTCTTGCTTTAGAATTGGAGGCTATGGATGTTGGTCTTGGATACTGTCCTTTTTGTTGTTTTAGTGATTCAGACCTTATCACCAGTCAGGCGGACTAGAGCTCAGGAGCTTGTGCAGAGAGATGATCCAAGAACCCAGCCTACAAGGTATGGGTGGGATGTGGAGGTGCTTGCCATAGATTGCCGAGAGAAAAGGTCCTCCTCAGTACTTAATCTGCTTGCATGGAGGGATGGTTTTGCAGTCACTGCCTGGTCTAGGTCTATCAAGACAGACCAGCAGAAGACCCCAAGTACCCCAAGACTCCCAGGGACCCCAAGCCTAGCTCACCCTTTTATTGCCATCTAGTTCTGATTGCAGCAGGTTTTTCTAGCAGAGTCTTTTCTTTAAGCCATTTTGCAGAATGACTGGGAGACTACGGACTTGTTCCACAGTTAGGTGTTGCGAGAAGTTTCAGATTTATGGTAATTATGCTATTCAAAGGCTGGCAAATCCAAACAGGAGGACTGTTGCTTCTTGGGGCCATCAGGTTGGCAGCCAGTAACCCAGATGCCATCAACTCAGCATCAGTCTAGCAGTCAGAGCTCCTTATGGTATGAGGCAGGTGCTGAAATGTGGTATACTAGGAGCTCAGGGAAATTGGGGATTCTGGAAAGTAGTGGAGCGAGGACCTTTCGGGACCACCAAATTAGTAATCAGCAATCTCTGGTGTATCGACTCTAAGACTGCCCAGCATTTGGTATTCTTTTGGTGAAGCAGGGAGGCAGTATTTGCTGGTCTGCTCTAGACTAGGGGCTGAGGGAAAGACCTGCAAGTCCCTGTGGAGGGTGAGCTGTTGTCTTTTGGAACTGCTAAGCTAGCTACCAGCAGTCTCAGGTATGAGTTGTGTTGCTTAACTCCTTCCAGGCAGTCAGTGTTCTTTATTAGTAGGCACTGTTTGCCACTCTTTAGTGTGTGAAGAACCCAGGTAACCCTGGGAATTTAGATGTGAAAGGTCAGGTGCTTTGAGATTCCCTAGCTATCATCCAGCAGCCTCAGATAAGTCAGATCCATGCCACTGAGCTGCCAGTTTTCCTTATAGTAAGCAGAGCTCAC